TTAAAGCTTGTTCATTTTATTAATTATTAATTAATTATTTATTATACCTATTTTAGTAGTACATAATGTTGATATCTCATATAAGAAATATACGACTCGTGGTTGTTGTTTATCGCACAATAACACTCTTCAGGGAGAATAAACCACTAAGAGTTGCGCGACTCGCTGTTATTCTCCCTACAGTGTTTTATTGTGTGATAAACAACGACCACGAGTCGTATATTTCATAACTATCGGTTTAGGACTAGGACCAAAGCTTGAACATAATGATGATAATAAAACAGCCTTGGTGTGTTACATTTCTCGCCATTAATATCATGTATTGAACATTTCCGAAAACATAAACTCAATTATTTTTAAGAACTGCCTTCAATACTTTTTGTGTTTTGGAGGTATCAATCAGTTGGCTATCACAAAACATCCTGCACACATTGTCCTGCGCTCAAAAAGATTAACCTCGCAACTTCTACCCCCATAAACGCAAAAAAATAATGAATTTAATTCTTACAAAAAATACCCCAACAATAATAACTACACAGACTGGGTATTTAATCATTAACAAACAAACAGAATACAGAACAATATCAGTGACAGTAGTCCGTAGTGGGTTTTATGGTTTATGGATAAACATACATACTATAAAGTGCTTGCTAAGACAAATACATGCCTCGGAGCCCTTTGCAATTTATTTATAACATTTGGAAATACTGATTACTATGATTGTTCTTGCAGTTTGATTTTTCTTTATCATTAATTCTTTTCCAACTGCTCTAAATTAGCTGAAATAGAATAAATTAGAATTTAAAATTATGAAAATCTAATGAAAAGTAAACTGTTTGCATTGTGACTGGTAATTAGACAAATGGGTTGCGGCCACTTCAAGTCACTAAAAAAGAGCAGAAAGACATCTGTTTTCCACAAAGAGGCACGGGTGATGTCATAATTTTTGTTTCTGATCTTCAGGATATGTCACAACTACATCCTCGGAGACTGTGTCATCACCAAGAACGACGTCTTCGTCGTTCCGCACTCCGTTGCTACCGTCATCCTCATCCCCGGGCTGGTTACCATGGCAGGCAGCCCTCCTCACTCTGACATCAATGTTGATCACTTGTTGTGTCACGGCGCTTGTCGTCATCCACAGAGAGTCAGTGATGCGGTGTATTGGACGCACCCTAAACAGGTGTAACCATGGCAACCACACTTTACACCCTGTAGAAGAAGGCGCCGAGGGTTCAGAATGTACGTTGAGTTTGGTGCATCCAAATCACTTTACCTTCTGATTCTTTGCAATAACCAGAACTTTCCACAGTTAGTATGTGAGCTCGGCTTTACTTAGCGCTGCTTTGAATGTTCATTTGTACCACAGCGTGTCAGTTTGATTTAGGGGGAAAGCCCAAAGTGATGCTGGTGTTATAGTGCTGACAAATCAATTATCATAACCAGAGCTAATCTGGGACTAGAACCTTCGATAATAGGTTATTATTGACTGGCCTAAGGGAAGCAACTCTGCTCAGCGCCTCGCGGCGTATAAGATAATCAGATCTTAGTTCTCGTTATCGCCAAACAAGATCTGAGGACATCCCTTTACGGGTCACGTCAGAACGACCTTTCGCGAACTTTGACCGACCACTGAAATGACTAACAAGAAGTCGACATCAGCCAATTAGAAAGCAGCTTTCTCGAGCTTTACGGCACTCGTTTCAACCTGTCGACTTCCATTTCAGACTACGCTTGAAAAGTATGTTGACACAGTTCTCGATTAAAATTGTTGAAAACTGAACAAACGAACATTCTGGAATGTCTAATATATGGTTGCGATTGTATGGCAGTGCTTCCCACGTACTGTACAACGCCTACTCCGTTCAAATGTTAATCCCACGGAAGCGAGACAATAATTTTGACGGAATCAGTCGTACGGGACGTAACTGTTGTTCGGAATACCCCGTGTTAACGTTTTCGAGGTTGCATGATGAGACAACACATTCCGACTGCCACTTTCATAATCTGGTAAGCGACGCTTTGATTGGTTGGATGAAAGGTCGTTCTGACGTGACCCGTAATGGGATGCAATTTTTTAGCGGCAGCGAGAACTCAGATCTGATTTTAATGAGCTGCGTGTGATGCGTATTAGATGACGAGACCATCAGTAGCGCACGCGTTGAATGACCTATAACAGTAGAGGTAAAACATGTATGTAATGCAAGTTACACAGTTTTGACACAGTTCAATTTGTATTGCAGATTCAATGGTAGCTGAACGAGAGTGAGATAAAAGCGCATCGGTTTAATGCAGTCAATGGGCATACAGACGCGTGTCGAAAAACTATTCCATTGAAACATGAGCACAATAGTATGCCTTCAAAGGATACTTATTGACAAACTACAGCTGTACGAGAAAATAGGCAATTCAGCGGTAATCGGATTGGCTACTCAAGGCTTCCTTTTCAAAGGGACGTGAAATCCAATAGCGCAGGAACTGACATGCGACAATTTTGATGGAGATTTAATAAGCATTCGGCATGGTGGACACAGCTACTGCCTTTCGGAGTTAACTCGTCTAGAAGTACCTCAATTTGACGCTTGTTTTAGTGAAAAAAATAAACATTTTGAAACAATGATGTAAATATCAATAACAGAGACATGTTGGGAAAACATATACAAATACATTGGCAGATAAGTAGACAGCCGTGAATTGGAAGCTTTTATTTGTGAAGTCAATGATAAAATGAAGTTTCACTAAATGACCACATCATACTTTGCGTTATTCGTAAAATAATCTTAATCGTAATAAAATTCCATAATTTTTTGTAAACGAGACAGAAATTTTCTTAAAATCAGCCGCCTAAGAAAAATGAATGAAAAGATACCCATTCGTATTTTTTTCATCACAAAGTGTCGTCATGAAGAGAATTCACCATCTTACAAACCAAATACACGATTCCTGTGCGAGTCGGTCAATAGAAGCGTACATATAATGTTCGTCCTGACTATGGAGAAGATACTCCTTGAGTGAGTAAGTGGGTTATAAGTTAACGTCGCATCGGCATTATTTCAGTCATATAGCGACAGGTGCTGCATTAACCCAGGCTCGTGAACCCAGGCTCGTATACAGTCTGGGCCTCGACTTTGTGATGACTTGCTGAATGTCCTAAAACAATGTGTTGTTTGAGTGGGGGCTGTGCTGCTGGTGAGGCAGGACTTCCTTACCCTTTTCGCGAACACCTGGTGTCATTTACGTATGATCGTTCTACTCTGTACTTGACGTCAGAATTATTGCAGTCGACTTCATACCATCTCAATCAGTGTTGTGTAATGGTCCGTTACTAGTTTTAATGTCCAGATTCTTCTTAAAGGGTTATACTTTCAAAATAGTGTCTCTGACAGTCAGTTAGCATCGTCCCGAGGCAAAGGAGTTAACTGACTATAAAAGTCCCGCTTCCATTGGACTTTAAAAGTCAGTTAACTCACTTGCCTCGGGAAGATGATAAGTAAATTGTGTGGACACCTTTAACACATAAAATATTCACTGACGCCTAATGTGACGTAAACTTACGTGAAAGCAATGAACACAGTTTAATACTGACGGGACTGTGGTCATTATCGGGACAACACACGGACATGAATGCACTGTAAGCAGATCCTGACACTAATAAGGAACGTAACTTTACCTGTGTCCACTATGCCATCCATGTTAAAGGAGTCAAACTAGATAAATGTAATATAATAAATTCAATAACTTCGTAATCTCAATATCACTAATCACACCGGTTGTCCTCAAAAACATATGTCCTACCCAACCCGCAGCACCCGAATGACGGCCATCTGTATACTGGCTAAAGAAGTGACTAATGTCTGCAAAGTCAGATAAATATATTTCAAAAGTTAATCTGTGCGGCAAAGTTTCAATGCTGAAGCAACTTATCCACTTCAATCCAGTACTACATTACACTATGCCTGTAATACACACGTGCGAAGGGGCGGTCGGGGTAGCCTAGTGGGTAAAGCGTTCGCCCGTCACGCCGAAGACCCGGGTTCGATTCCCGACATGGGTACAATGTGTGAAGCCCATTTCTGGTGTCCCCCGCCATGATATCGCTGGAATGCTAAAAGCGGCGTAAAACCATACTCACTCACCCACCCACCCACTCACCCACTCACTCATCCACTCACACACACGTGTGAATATAGAACGTCAGCGAATAATCAGCCTCAATTATCCGGCGAAACATATTCCATTGTGCGTAAACTGAAAGTCAGTTACAGACAGTGATATAACTTGTTACAATCAGTGTAATGTGTCTCAAACATCAGTGAACCAGCATCTTCACTCGTGAAGCAGGCATTCGTGTTGATCTTATCGATCGCGATCAGCGAGCTAGGAAACGTCACTGAGGATATAAACACCCCATATGTAGCTAGACTAACTAGCGCATTGCAGAGAAATATGGTTACATGTATCTATGTACTATGATAGATCAATGTTCGTGTAACTGTCTTGATATTCCAGTCAGTTTAAGGACACTGTACTCCTTGTGTTCAATGATGTAACTAACCCGCAGCCTACTCTTTCCAACACCCAGTATTATTCCTATGACCTACTTTTTAGGGGATTCCCCGTCAATTCATTGCGGTGTACGTGTTCTGGGCCTTTGATGTTTGTTTTGATGGAAAATTCCCAACATATTTCACGGACAGGAGAAACTCGTAGGGGAAACGCATGTTTATACTTCCAAACGGTTTGATAAAGGTACAGGTGGAATGGAAAAATTAGTGTATAAATATTTGATTATGGGATGGGATCAAGAGTCTCACGATACAGGAAGATGTGGTCACCCATACATGCACCTGGCAATAATAACATATAGACTGGCAGACTGATACAGGTGTGTACATGAATACATGTTTTATTTATTTTTGAACCAAGGCCGCGACTGCATGGATCTTTTCATTGGAGTAAAACATACATATGAAAAAAACATGCATACATACAAAGCACACATATATATTTATAGTATATAGTATATAGCCCTCGTACAGTATATCTCCGCGTGGTATGTTTCATTTCAACAAGGCATCCAATAAAACAGATCACTCTGACATGAAATATATACAGTGGGTGAGTGAGTGAGTTTTACGCCGCTTTTAGCAATATTCCAGCAATATCACGGCGGGGGACACCAAAAATCGGATATGAAGATCTGATGATGGTGATACTGATGATGAGCCACTCACTCACTCTTTCACTCACTCTTTCACTCACTCACTGTACAGAACATCGCCCGATAAACAAATGTGGGCATTTTACTGAGCCTGTTCTGTTCTTAGGGCGATGTTTGCCCAGTGTCAATCTGAAATGTTCTCCAATACCACAAACCGCCCAGGAAAAACCTTCGATGAACCGTAGGCATAAAACGTCTTGAATCAGTTGTATGTCAGTGTCACATATGCAATCTACACGTCACAGCTGACTCTCTGACGTTTGACGACTGTCTCCATCGTTTCTTTGAACATCACCGTCATTGTTGCGATCAATCGTTGTAATGTCGCCCATCAAGATCTCTAAAAGGAAAATAATTCACGATCAGAACCACGGACCATGCTGTATCTCTTCGAAGAGGTCGCGACACAGATTCCCGTCAAACATTAATTATTATTCTGTGTGTAATACCTTTAACGCATGATGGAATTGTACTTTATCAAGACAACGTACTCAACCTATAAGATACGCACCGGTAAGGCTACATTTTCAGCCTATTAGGACCGCATCCGTGGTCTAGTGGTATAGCGTCCGCCCGGAGAGCGGAAGGCCCAGGGTTCGAATCCCGGCCGCGTCATACCAAAATACGCTAAAAGATGGTACTTGTTGTTACCCTGTCTGACGCTCAGCATTAAGGGGTTAAAACAAGGACTGGTCGGCTCGGAATCAGTATACTGTATCTGAGTGTGGTATTCATGTTAGACTGCACTATAAATCGACATCAGTCCGGACTAATTCAAGCAGCCACACACACACGTGCATGCACATCGCTATATAAGTGCAATAATCTTGGACGCGACGTCACATCCCATTTCCCCTCAGTCTTTAAGACAACGCTCTGAAGCTATAAGTTGAACCTATAGTCATAAGACAAGTAGTCAACCTATGAGAGAGAACGTAGTCGATCTACATGTATAAGACAACGTACTCAACCTATTAGGCAGTCAACGTTCTAAACCTATAAGTCAACGTACTCAACTTATAAGACAGTCAACGTTCTAAACCTATAAGTCAAAGTACTCAACCTATAAGACAGTCAACGTTCTAAACCTATAAGTCAACTTACTCAACCTATAAGACAGTCAACGTTCTAAACCTATAAGTCAAAGTACTCAACCTATAAGACAGTCAACGTTCTAAACCTATAAGTCAACGTACTCAACCTATAAGACAACGTATTCAACCAATGAGACAACGTTTTCAACCTACAAGACTCAACCTATAAAATGACATATTCTACATACAAGACAACGTATTCAACCCACGAGACGTATTCGTTCTACATGTAAAAGACAACGTATTCAACCTATATGACAAGTAAACGTATTAACAAAGACACATTCTCACCGTTTGGCCCTGGGGCGTCGTCGTGGCCATCATGGTCTCCACCGACCTCCTGCACGGGGCGCTTGTTGTGACAGTAACACTGGGCACTGAGGTACATCTGGTGAAGCTTCTGTCTGTGGTACAGTGACAACGCAAGGATGACGACGACAGCTGCAATGGAGGCAACAGGCGCGACCACTTTCAAGCTCAGCTGCGAATACGTCGTTGATGTAGTCGCCACCACTTTCAGACCAGTTGGAGTTGGAAGAGATGAAGCCCACGTTGATGCTGTCGGAGAGGTTGTCTTTTTAAGGAAATCTGAATAAAAGTGATCAGGGAATTGTATGTTAGTTTTTGCTGGAAAATTGGCGATTAGTAAACTAAATGATACACCGCACCGTAGATGATAGAATTTTGTCCCCTTGTTATTTTTTATAGTGATGTAAAACCCCTTAAAGGCGATAGCCTGGGGATCATCGAATGTATACATCGAGTGTCGGTATGAGATTGGAGAGACAAGGAGTCAGCCACGGCGGTGAAGTAGCATAATCTTAGTCATACATCGAGGTAGTGGAAGTTAATAATGTTTCACTCAAATTTAAACCAAAAAACAGCGTTATCACTGTCCCCCGCCATGGGGCACATTAAATTGTTGTTTGTTCATATGGTAGTGAATATAAACTACAAGTGTCCTATAAATCATAAGGAAGATATAGGCAGTTGGTCCGCTTTATGCTATCAGAAAAAAAAAAAAGTCAAATAAATACGCACAAAATGCCTCTTCTCTGGAAAACATAACTGTCTTGATAAGTATCTCTTGATAATTTAACTTCAGTTGTTTCTCAGAAAACTTGCAAACACTATGCACCAAGTAAAATAACACGGGCCGAGCGTCGTATGTCTGCAAACAAATAACTGACCTGACGCTGTCTTGACAAGTATAAACATGCAAACTTTCATTCATGTAACTTCAGCAGTTTCTGAGTTTCACGCAGTATGCTCTAAGTTGAAATGCACGCAACAAGGGCCATTACTCGTGCGTGGGACAATACATATACACATATGTCATATTTGGGGTAGCATGGTGGTTAAAGCGTTCGCTCGTCACGCCGCAGACCAGGGTTCGATTCCCCACATGGGTACAATGTGTGAAGCCCATTTCTGGTGTCCCCCGCCCTGATATTGCTGGAATATTGTGGCGTAAAACCCAACTCACTCACCCACTCATATTTGTTCTTGGTTCTGTATTGGCAACACGATATTGTACACCAAATCTCAGTTTTTACCAACTTTTATGCAAAACCACCATCACACAGGTTAATCCGCTATTTACACCAACGTCGGTTAACTAACACACATGTCGGATCAGTTACCCAGGTGAAATAGTATGTGTGTTACAATCTATTCTCAGATGCTTAGTTATTTATAGAACACCGTCACTCAATAACCCAGGCAGATTAATCCGACTTTTAACGGATTGTTCACACGTGCGTACCGTGTGGCCTATAGTATATACATGTTTATGTCAATACCCATAATGAACATAAAAGCGATCAATATTCATACCAACCCTAATTATCAATAATAATACTCATTAATCATAATTGTGAAGATCCGGGTCAGAATAGGTCTTCATCAATACATGCTTGCCATAAAAGGCGACCATGTCTTAAGGGGCGACAAACGTAATCGGGTGGTCAGGCTCGCTGACTTGGCTGTCGCATGTCCTCGTATCCCAATTTCGTAGATCGATGCTCATGATGTCAATCACTGGATTGTCTGGTCCAGAGTCGATTATTAACAGACCGCCGTCATATAGCTAGAATATTGTAGAGTGCGGCGTTAAACAACAAATAAACAAACAAATAAAAAAACTTTAATCTCACCTGGGCAATTCGTGCTGCATTTTCTGACAGTGTTTTGTATCTCCATGTTGTCACACACCACGCTACAGTACTCACACATCTGTGAGTCAGGGTCGAGGAATCGACCACGCCCACACGCTGACCGCGTCTGAACCAACACGATCCAATTGACAAGAACAACCAGAAGGACACAGTCCTCTAGAAGCAGTCGCCTCATGCTGGAGTTTGTGTGAACTCCCAATATCAGCTGCTAATACCGGCTACCCGGAAAAGGAACATTTGTTGAATTAGAAACACGCTTGTTCGGCTGCCATTATACGTGAGCTCTACAGAACGTAAACACGAGTTCAGTGCTGCCGGCGAAATGTGTCCGACCTCCCCAGTCCACTGTGATTGAGTGAAGACGGGCAGAATGTGATAGATTAATCTTGGTATGACGTAATTTGTTGTCACGTGATCGTGAATGGTTTGAGTTTAATCTTCATGGTTTCCTATCTATTGGACTATCAGTGCACAGAGCATTACTGTTTGATTCCTCAGATTTGCCACTGATAAGCGAATTTAGTAATGTACTCCAATACTTTTTTCCCTGAATTCTTCGTTCGAGAAGAATCCCGCGAACTCGTCGCTGTACAGACATTTGGAATCAAATGATCCGACAATTAAACTTCGAGTACATTGATAAAAGACATGATGGAAATACTCATTGTATTTAAGGACTAATAGGGTATGAGTGATATCACTCATTCGTGTAAAGATATGGCTCTATATATTGGTTCAATTGATGATTTATTTTCTTTTGTGTATGACATTTTAACTCTTGTCCCTAAATAATAGCAGTATTTCGATGGTTTTATCACCCTTAAATAGATTTCGAGCACCATTTTACACTGTCATATTACTCGGATTCTCAACCAATTGTTACTTCGACAGGTGAGTGGGTGAGTGAGTATGGTTTTACGCCGCTTTTAGCAATATTCCAGCAATATCACGGCGGGGGACACCAGAAATGGGCTTCACACATTGTACCCATATCGGGAATCGAACCCGGGTCTTCGTAGTGACGAGCGAACGCTTTAACCACTAGGCTACCCGACCGCCCCACTTCGACAGACACTGAACCAGTGTGTCGATATGACTGTAGTGGCGTAACAAGGTCACAGACTGACCATACTGGACTGGACATAGGACATAAGTCTTACTGTAAATAGAGCCTTTTTTAGCGGACACTGGAGGACAGAGTGTCACAACTAACTCGACATGCTGTTGTTTTTTTTACATGACCCGAGGTAGAATAGGTCTTCAGCAAGCCATGCTTGCCGTAAGAGGCGACAAACGGGATCGGCTGGGGAGGCTCGCTGATTGGTTGATCCATGTCATCGTATACCAATTGCGTGGATTGATACTCATGATGTCAATCACTGGATTGTCTGGTCCAGCCTCGAGTATTTACAGACCTCCGTCATATAGCTGGAATATTGCAGAGTGCGGCGTTAAACAACAAACAAACAAACAAACAAAATGTTTATGGACATGATAATAATGATAGTATTAGTTACCGATGGAATAATATATAATTTCATTTGCAAGAACATGAATTCATTGACTTTAACTTGATTCACAGTTATGCTTATGCAATCTACAAGGACGCTTGACATGCATAACAGGTGGCATGTGGCTTGTGACGTCAATCAACGGTCCTGAATGACACAGCACATTTAGTATGTGACGTCACTGCGCCAACTGTGCTACAGACGAATAGATTTTCCTTTGATTAGTGTACTCTACGTGTTCCTTTGCACTAACAAATTATGTAAATAAGCACATTGTGTAAATATATATACATAAAAGAATCTGCATGACAGTATCTTTGAACCTGTATTGATGCTCGCCCTGACATCGTTCAAGTTCGTTTCCAAGGAATGCTCTTCGGACTGTGCGATCACAGTGTAGGTTTAACCCATTCTATATTTAGTACAGGGAGTTCCCCTTCACACGCAGGTTAATTATGGAGACAGTAGCAGGTGTGTGGCAACAATCCAGGGCACGTGTCAGTGCATTAGAAGTTTGCAGCTGTGGTACACTCGTCTGAATGAACAGAATGTGCTGAATGTGCCGAATGTTCGCTCGTCACGCCGAAGACCCGGGTTCGATTCCCGACATGGGTACAATGTGTGAAGCCCATTTCTGGTGTCCCCCGCCGTGATATTGCTGGAATATTGCTAAAAGCGGCGTAAAACCATACTCACTCACTCACTTGAAGAAACCCGTTTTAACAACGATACTGTTCATCTACAGGATCATCAGGCTCTCATCAAGGTAGGTAAATGATTTATGTTAACACTGTGGGGATTGAATTGGCGTTCATTTTGCACAAATTTTGAACACTTATGTGCCTACCAGCAGCGTGTGTTATAACAAGAACTGCAGGCTAGATCAAAGTAAAATACAGACCACAGTCAACCTTTTAACGAAAGCCTTTTAATAAAGAGTTTTCAAGGGTTTTCTCTTTCTTAATATATTTAGATATGGAATCTAAGACATTTCACGAACAACATTGTGGAATACAATTTATACAATGAGAAGAGGATCTGAAAAGCCATATTATCATATACTGGTTAGTGTTATCGATGCGATAAATTCATCCGATAAACTTGGTATCAATATCGGATCAATATGCAAATGAGGTCCCCTATCAGGGTCACTTATATCAGGCTCCACGCATCGATACTACTTGCTCAATAAACTGTTGCCAAATGCCCTCAATAAGATTATATAGGTGTTTGTCGAGGTGTAGATGTTTCTGTACGCAAACATGGATTCCAATTATTTGGAACTACATTGGGAGGGTTCACTCTTCAATTGTATTCATATGCGGTTTCTACACTTCTTTCAGTGAGTGAAATACTGTCTTGAACATCGACTATTTTATGAATGGCATTATAATATTATAATAAAATGATCATTACCCGCGTTTGATTCCGTATTGTAAATATACTATATTAGAAGTATAAACTATGTATTATGGTCGTCAACGGGCTCGCATACTACAATTCGTATTTGTAATATATGACATTAACGATACGGAAACATAGTGTTTTCTCAGTAAACTTTCATTTTTACAAATTGCCCTGAACCCCAAAAGAGCGACGTGTAACTGAATCTATTGTCACCACGTTTGAAAGAAAAGCCCCATGGATCAAGGCGTGAGGTCTTTCCTTAAGTTTGTCATGTGGGATAGTGGATGACAAAGGTGAAAAATGAACTGTTTTGATAGAAACAAGCAAGAGTATTCATAGTAACATGTAACAATCGACACACGTGCTTAATATTGTCTGTATACTTTTATATTGATTGTTCACGTTCCAGGAATTAGTTAATTGTTGTTTAAACGTGAAGCGAAAGTGAAAGTTAAACCAGAGATCGTTATATCGGAGTATCAAGCATACATGATGTTTGTAAATTCACGAGGATTAAGTGCTATAATCCATGGAAAAGTAACAGCAGGTAGGATAAATATACCCTATTACTTTGTTGACCATGCGACCAACGGAATTCACGCAGTTTATGCCATTAACTGGCACATGACCTTAAAATGATCATACTTGTTGTTACCCTACCCTGCCTAAGGGGCTAAAACAAGGACTGGTCGGTAGACTCTGTCTGAGTGGGGTTTCCATCTCAGGGGTCTAGCATGATAAAACCGGCATTTCTCCGCACTTGTACAAACAGACACACACGTACATACACGTCGGACCCGTGAAGATGCGGGTTAGAATAGGTCTTCAGCAACCCATGCTTGCCGTCAAACGCGACTATGCTTGTCGTAGGAGGCGACTAACGGGATTACCATTTCACCTCACCTCATCTCACCTGTTCTTGATCAACCATCAACAGTTTTATTACACTAACATACACTGTCATACAGACCCTGAAACAAATATATCCAATACAAGTCTATAATATTTGGCATTAGATCATGAATATGAAGAGTCTCTGGGCGCCTTTTGATTATATTGCACAACTATAATTAACAACAATTTACTGTTTTTAACTGTCAAATTTGTTAACTTCAGAGACTAGATGTTAGTCCCCACTGACATCTTTATGCCAAAAATTCAACCATAACGTGTATCAAAATTATTTGCGTTTAGTGATTTGATGTGACCGTCCGAATATCGTTTTCATGCAAAGTGGTACCTTGTTATTCCTGAAATATTTTCATGAATATAAAGATCTTGCTTCGGGGTAGGTATCTAGAACCCAATGATACTGCTTTGAATACTCTGAAACAACCACTCAGGTAATATACACACAAATGTTTTCAGCCACTCTTCCAACTTTGTGATACTGGGGTGCCTCCCAGGGCTTCCGATAAGACCTGAATGTGAATAAAAGCGACAAAACCATCCTCATATTCATAAGAAATATGTGCCAACAGAACGATTCCGACCTTTTCATGAGCATGTGTTTATGAATCACTGTCAAATATAGCGATGATGCAAGGTGTTCGCGAAAAGGTGTACGTATCCTGCCCAACATGTCCATTGCTCGTTTGAAAATAAAACAACACGGAAAACATGTGGCACATAGAAAAAGGGAATTGCATCTGACGTCATGTTTGTCATTGATGGGTCAAATTTGGAAAGGTCCTCCAAATGTCTACCATAATTCTTTAAAAAAGCTTTAATGAGGCCTTATTTGTTGTAACCTTGATCAAATAACTTCTAAACTTTTGGAATGTTTATATAGGAAGAGCATGCTCGATTACACCGCAAAAGTAAGGTAAACACCTAGGGCTGGAGCTGCAGGAATATTGCTCGACACAAAGGGAAATTAATGTGTATTTTCAGAAACATGTTAATTCAGTTCACAAGTGCCTATAATTTTTTAGAAGTTAACTTGAATAAGATCAGAACACAATTCAAGACCAACTCTATTATTGTCAACGCGAACCGTTGAAAAGGGGGCATTATCTATAAGTTAGATTGTCAGATGATAATGGAGATGTATTGAGTTATATAAAAGCGACCAAAACGTTTCCATATTCATAAGAAATCTTTGTTAAGAGCAGAGGGGATGCGACTACAGCTCTAACATAAGCCTCTGTTTAAGAATCACTATCAATGAATGATGTATTATATGTGTGTGTGTGTGTGTGTGTGTGTGTGTGTGTATGTGTGTGTCGGGGGGGGGGGGGGGGGGGGGGGGGGTCAATTGGTGCCCACGGGAATGCCTACATCTTGCCTGAATGTCTCACCCAACTCTTACATAGATGTTACCAATGAGGAAGTCCAGCATTTCAGTGTTATCTCAGTAAACTTTCATTTTTGACATATTGCCCTGAACCCATGAAGATATTGTCACCACTTCTGAAACAAAAGCCCCATGG